AAGTCATGTTTACGTTATTGTGTTTATCAAATAAAATTAAGCGTTAAGGATAATATCCATAATATCAAAAAGTGTCATTGTAAGTGATTCCTCTCCGTCCCCGATTGCAATGAGTATATCCTCTATGACCGCATCACATTTCAAGACTTCCAACATATCTTCGCTTGGTAGTGTACATGTTGGTAAACCTAATCGACTCTGCATTCGATATTAGGTATATTGAACGATTATAATATCGAGGATACAAGTTACAACAATCTGATTACAATGGATTATTTCAACTTGAGTTGATTGATTTTTCAATGTACACGTGTGATATTCTCTCAGAAAATTTGATCTGAAAATAGCAAGAAACATTTGAGCATTTGTTAAATAACTCAATGGGTCTATTCCTGCATTGACCAAGTCAGATGTTGCGTAAAGTACCATATTCCTATATTTCATGAAACTCTGAGCTAATATCCTAATGTCTTGCTTACAATAGAAGGCTAGACTTTCGGTGTAGTTAAATTTCCCCTCTTCTTTTACCCTCTGATACCAATGGTAAAATTCTAACTGACTTTGATGAGTCATATTTTCGTGACCGTAAGCACTGGGTGGGGGGGGGGGGTATTCCATATCCCCCTCGTAATTTACTTTTTTTTCATGTTTTTTTTATTTCATAATAATAAGTCGTACAATACAGTAGTACAGGGCCTATGCCTAGGCACTATTGGCCCTGTTAAGATTAACTATATAACAATACAAATATAAAACATGTTTTAATCTACTGAATTCAAATCTATAAAATGTGGGAAAAATCCCTTGGATAATTCAGGTAACCCAAATGCTTTGGGTAACTTTGCAAGAGCCATATTCAAATGGTTAATAGTATCACCAAAATTCGTGGTGGTCCTATCTGTAACAAAGTAATTTTTAAATCGGAACAAGTCAAGTTGGATATATGTATCCCAACACTCAAGAAATATTTCAAGACAAAATATGAATCGTACCCTTTCGAGTTTTGAGCCAAGAACAACGTGTACCGCAATGGGAACATTTCTTCAGTTCTGTTTTATCCACACAATGATCGCAAATTGAAAAGGCGGCTACGTAAATAGGTGTATGTTGTTGCCTAGAGCATTTGGAGCTATTACAGTTGGTACATAGCTTACACTCGGCGCAAACTTCATTTTCTGTACACAAATTGCAATTATCCTTGTTATAAGGCTTATAACCATCTCGACATTGAATAATCGAATCTTTATGTGTTTCGAAATCGTAAAATACAACTTTAAACTTTTTCATAAAGTTTAAGGGCTCTGCTCTCATGTAACATATATGATCGTAAGGAACAATATAGTGACATATGTAATACTTGTAATGGTCACATTTATGCGACTTATGTGATACCTTCTTCGAGATACGATCTATCACATGTAATGCAATACCAACGAGCCTCACATAAAGATTTTCGAGGTACATTGTGAAACCAATTTTGGTTTTGGTGTTTTATTGTTTATGGGTCCTGTATTATTAATTGCCGAAATGCTATTACTTTTTTGAGGGATTGTCCTTCAGTTCAGCTGTTGGTGTTTATTATTTATAATGTTCAATGTTCATCAGACCAAATTCCATTGCATCAAGTGTAACATAACAAGTCAGTTGTTCAGTTCAATCCAAGTATATTGTATAAGAATATTTCTTCCTTTTTAAAGTACAAGTTCATTCAATAGTCTGTTTCAGTTACTTGGCTTCAATCTCTATTCACAAAACCAACTCTTTTTACAGCACTAATACTTTGTACAGAATCAACCACCAAAAACCTATCATCTCTACTTATATCATATGCTAGGCTGTGTTAAATATAGCCTCAGCCTTAAGTTTAGCCAATGAAGGCATTAGGGTTTGAAACCAAGTTAAAGATGCAGACTTACATCAAAGTTACATATAAGATTATATAACATGCTACATACAATAACACAAGTAATATATCATAATTCAGCACCTTCAAAGGGTAACACTGCTCTCCCTGTTCGTACAAATTGTTTTTTAGACTCCTTCCTCCCAATAATAAGTGTATTATTAATTTTTGAATTTTGAAATAATAATTTGCATAATTTTTTTAATTGTTCTAGTCTATTTTAAATTTGACTGTACACAATACAAGATAACATGATTCTATCAGCTGAATCCTTGAACCAAAAAGAAGAAACATTGTCAATTAATGATAACATAACTCAATCAAATAAATCTGTCCTTCAAATCACAAGTTGTTCACCGATGCCTGCCTTTCAGTACTCCAGTCTGATAAAACCTTAAATAGTTTATTTGACACACTTATACAATTAAAATATAACTTGATATCCGGCAGGAACTGGTGAAAACATTTGTTCAAAATTTAGGTCTACTTCCCCCTCTACCCTACTTGATCAAAGTTTTATGTTATATTATTCGATATATAACTACTGAACAGAGACAATCAACATTAAAATACATTACGTATTGGATATCGAGAGTCGTCGCTTGTAAAGCACGGAGGCCAAGACAGTTACCGTATAAAAAATTTACATAACTTTTCCTATGTGGCTGACGTAACAACAAAAGGAGACATTAAATGGTCAGCCCACCTGTTGAGTCTGTTGACATCTTTTGTGTCATGATGCTGACATTATCTAATGTGTTTTTATTAATCATATATTACTATATACTGCATGCAAAATTGAATATTGTTAATTGTACCATTTGAAAAATACATGTATATATGTTGAGTATGAATTGATACATTATATATTTTCTCTAAAGCATTATTATTGTCTCCCATATAAATGAAGAACTCAGAAAGGCACTAAATAGTTTTGAATTGTATAATTAAAACAATAGTTATTCAATAGAATAAAAACAAATAGGAACAATGTTCCTTTACATTATAAGGCAATTGATTATATCTAGTACTAATTTGATATGATTTTTTATAATTTCGCACGTAGCTCTTATCTTAAATCAATCAGAACAAATACTGAAAAGATGCTTAACCATATAAATATAGAAGAGAGGAAGTCCCGAATGATATATGCGCTGGAAATAGAAGAGGGGCCAGCAGTTGAAATGAAGGGAACATCTGGCGAACCGATACACCTGGCCACTAAATTACACCAGAGTACAATCGTTGACACCAGAGATGTTCCAATTTCATGTCTCCCTCCAGCCCAATATAGACTCTAGAAATATAAGGTTTAAACTCCTCAATCAACACCGGGATATAATGTTGTATGTCAACTGAGAAGAGACACGAGTTAAACGACGCCAGAGATGTAGCATTATACGAGATAGACAACATACGACAAATATACAGTCATTGACACCGGAGATGTACCAATATCATGTGTCATTCGAGCCAAATATAGATTCGAGAATTTAAGCATTTTTGAAAATAAATTATTAACACAACTAGTCAGAAAGAAGTTGAATCATTCAACGGATAAGGATACATTAATTTGTAAAACGGGTAGAAAAGTGAGTATTTATTTGGTTTAATTTATTAAATGCAATATGTGCCAGTAATTGGAGGAGGCAAATAAGGCATGTTCGCTGCATTTTATTGGTATTTAGTTTTGTCAAAAGTCTATCATAGTGCGATCTAGTATAACTTGTCTACTCAAGAACTGGATGTCAAATCATTAAGAAGCTGTTATAAAGTCCCTCTTATTATGTGATAATCACCATAAAATTCAAGTATCTTCAACATATCATAAAGTGTTATCTCTAATATGCGATGACCTCCTGCGTTGTGTCCGCGGTTTCCCAAATTTGAGATTCTGGCTTCGCGGCACCAGTGAAATCAGTCCTTGATTTTGGTGTTTTATTGTTTATGCGTTCTGTATTATTATTATTAATTGCTGAAGTGCTATTACTTTTTTGTGGAATTGTCCTTCAGTTCAGCTGTTGGTGTTTATTATTTATAATGTTCAATGTTCATCAGACCAAACTCCATTACATCAAGTGTAACATAACAAGTCAGTTGTTCAGTTCAATCCAAGTATATTGTATAAGAATATTTCTTCTTTTTTAAATCACTAAGTACAAGTTTATTCAATAGTCTGCTTCAGTTACTTGGCTTCAATCTCCATTCACAGAACCAACTCTTTTTACAGCACCAATACTTTGTACAGAACCAACCCCAAAAACCTATCCTTAGTATTTATATCATATTCTAGGCTGTGCTAAATATAGCCTCAGCCTTAAGTTTTAGCCAATGAAGTCATTAGGGTTTGAAACCAAATTAAGGATGCAGACTTACATCAAAGTTACATATAAGATTATATAACATGCTACATACAATAACACAAGTAATATATTATAATCAAGCACCTTCAAAGGGTAACATAGGTGACCTAGGTTTAGTAGGGTTTTTCGTGATAATGGTAGTCAATGTTGGTTTATACCAGTTTGTGGTTTGTTTAACAGTACCAGTGTTACTACCGACGTTACAATGACACCTTGTTGCTTAGTAGAGTTTTCAGGGTTATTTTTATATTTCAAAAACAAGAAACCATAAATAGACTCTCTTGGTGCTGAAATCAGTCACTGCAAGCTCACCTGTTGACAGTGAGGCTATACCCCTTGTTAACCATACATTTTTGTGTTCCACTTTTTAAGTATAGCTGGTGTTGGTGTCATGGTTCTATGTATTTTACGATCATTGCGAGTCGCAATTTTTTTGTCACGATTATTCAAGACTATATCTTTGATAGATTCAAAGTTTATCACATCAGTATTCGATCCCTTGATGGAAAACCCTTTCACAACACACTTAGTGGATCCAGTGTGCTCCAAATAGGCGTAATTCTTAGGGCCAGCAGAAACAAAATGCGTTATGTAATTGTCTTCAGTTAGTTCATTCGTCAAACCACCTAGATAATTACTCATTGTCGTCAAAGTTTGGTTTAGATATGTAGAATATACTATCTATGTCGTAATATAAAACTCTCGTACCTAGCTCGTGCAATTTCTCGTACAGCTTAATACGACCGTGAGCTGTTTGTTGTTTCAACTCGAGTTGATAGATTTTTCAATGTACACGTGTGATATTCTCTCAGAAAATTTGATCTGAAAATAGCAAGAAACATTTGAGCATTTGTTAAATAACTCAATGGATCTATTCCTGCATTGACCAAGCCAGATGTCGCGTAAAGTACCATATTCCTATATTTCATGAAACTCTGAGCTAATATCCTTACGTCTTGCTTACAATAGAAGGCTAGACCTTTGGTGTAGTTAAATTTCCCCTCTTCTTTTACCCTCTGATACCAATGGTCAAATTCTAACTGACTTTGATGAGTCATATTTTCGCGACTGTAAGCCCTGTATATCCCCCTCGTAATTTACTTTTTTTTCATGTTTTCTTTATTTCATAATAATAAGTCGTACAATACAGTAGTACAGGGCCTATGCCTAGGCACTATTGGCCCTGTTAAAATTAACTATATAACAATACAAATATAAATAAAACATGTCGTAATTTACTGAATTCAAATCTATAAAATGTGGGAAAAATCCCGTGGGTAATTCAGGTAACCCAAATGCTTTGGGTAATTTTGCAAGAGCCATATTCAAATGGTTAATAGTATCACCAAATTTCAAATTGCGTGGTGGTCCTATCTGTAACAAAGTAATTTTTAAACCTGAACAAATCAAGTTGGATATATGTATCCCAACCCTCAAGAAATATTTCAAGACAAATTATGAATCATACCCTTTCGCATTGTGAGCCAAGAATGTAGTTTTTGATTGCGGGTTCTTGCAACACCAATCGCCAAATTGTTTTAAGGTATCTGCTCTGTGAAAAGAAACCCATTCTGATCCAAAGATAGCGTTGTCGCATGGTGGATTATCGTAGCACTGATCTTAAAACACCAATCGGTACACTTAGGTGAACAATGTGTACCGCAATGGGAACATTTCTCCAGTTCTGTTTTATCCACACAATGATTGCAAATTGAAATGGCATCTACGTAAATAGGTGTATGTTGTTGCCTAGACCATTTGGAGCTATTACAGTTGGTACATAGCTTACACTCGGCGCGAACTTCATTTTCTGTACACAAATTGCAATTATCCTTGTTAAAAGGCTTATAACCATCTCAACATTGAATAATCAAATCTTGATGTGTTTTGACATCATAAAATACAACTTTAAACTTTTTGGTAAAGTTTAATATACCTCGACCAACTTTATGCCTCTCGTAACAAGCATTGTTACGGGCTGTCTTGTAGCATTCGTCACATGACCGCACCTCGTCAGGAATAACGATATTTTTGTCATTTGTCACGTTACACACTTACACACGTCACACACTTGCTTACAACTATGATTATCGTTAGAATAAAAATTGGAACAACCATAACAAAAATCCATGTTGAAAAGACCTTTATAATTAATTACTGCGTCATAATGACCCTTCAACGAAGTAGGGTTGTAGGTCAAAAATACAAAAATTGTATATGTAATCTAATGTCCTTGTCTCTGGGTCACAATTATAATTTTTTTTTATAGTATACTCAGCAAAAAATTCGGGATTTAACAAATAAGCACAAGCTAACAAAACTGACCAGGCAAAACATGTGTAATCATTATTATCAACCATATAAACAATGTGTGTTTTACGTTTTAAGTCATCACGTTTTTCTATTTTTACACAACCTAAGCCCGATGGCATTTTGATAATTGACACAATAATATTTAGTGACGAATCCATTTTCAACGTTTCATTAGAATTTAAAATGCCCTCTACTTTGTCCAAAATTTCAGAACTGGTCATGTCACTTACACGTCTAGCTGTTACAATAATTGGCGTTTGTAAATCGGCGTGTTGAATAACAGCGTGTATCATACCGTGATCATGATGGGCACGGGTGCTCTCTATCAAAATATTCTTAAATATATGTTCTAGAGTATCATTATGATTACGTAACGGAGCCCCCTCATTTACCTCCTTTATCGTAGCATTGTATATGAATTTAACTAGGGCATTTTTAAAGGTAGTTCTACCTCTATAAACTAAATCAAAAGATTTGGTTCGTTTTCATTTGTCAAATTTGCATTCGATGTTGGGCAAAGGGCAATAAACGTGTTGCATCAATGTAGAAAATAATGATAATTTATTCTATATGTTCTGGTTAGTATTGGATTAAAAATGTTAAACTCTTGAGCTCTGTAACAAATGATTCAAATGTTCATAACATAAAAAAACACAAGCTGTACATTTTATCGAATTAAACTAACTATGTCACTCGACGGTTGATTCATATTACTAATGTCATAAGAGGCACTTTCAGAATTGTGCTGGATCCCCGATTTGACTTCATCTTTCTCTCCACTAGCTATTTGAACCTTTAAACAATCTTCGCAAACGAACCATTGCAAGTCGTAGTTGCCATTTGTTTTACCGCATATTATACATGTCTCCATAGTAACTAATGGAATAAAAGGCCAATGTTTTGATGTATCTACCTATATAATAACATAATTAAACCTGACATTATACTTAATCTACTGTAGTTTCAGCTATTATAATTACAGAATTAAACCTAAGAACAACAATAAGAGGGTGCATTCTGCTTAATCTTATCAACCCTGTTAATAAATATCACTTTGTCTATCTTTTTAAAAATTCAAAGAAACTTAAATTAATAAAAATAGATGCTACTTACCAGTTTAAGTATAGATTGTTCAAATAGTGTTAGCTCCTATGTTTGTCGATGAATGACAATAGAATACAGTGAAAGAATTGACTAAGTTGCCAATATTTATACTTTGTGACATTGCCTGTACTTAACAATAAATAACGATCACCTTAAGTTCAGAGCGTCAAGCAACCTTGTATATGGTAAAGCTTAAGGCTATCTTTGTCTCCAGATTTACATCGTAACTGCTCACATATGGCTTTGTTACGTAATAAAGTGTTACATTTTCAGTTTCGTTTAAGTGTGGAATAACTTTGATGGTTTGACAAATACCGCATGTTGTATTAACGCTCAAAACTAATAATTGACCTATCATGTTCAAATACTTGAGCATGAATGACGGTATCACTTACATGAACATATATATGTCTTTATTTTTTTATGTATAATACAGCTTATTTAACTCTGGTTATCGAAATCCCCAGGCTCGAAATAACTACATTCGTTACAACTGTCAGCATCACTTTTTACACAATGGCCTGTTATTAGACAATGAGGTTCAGTAGGTTGTACGAGCCCGTATTTAATAAGGTTGTCCACAAATTGCTCAAACACTAGCCGGGTCATTACGATGCCATTCCTATCTGGTAAATGTTTGCGTGGGTCGTCAGAGTAAGTATTGAGGTGATAACCTTATTTAAAATACTAAAAATGTGATATGTAGCTACAACAATAGAGCCAATGTACATTTTATTTTAATATTCTACGATGAGTCACAAATCATTTAAAACCTTACCTCAAATGTTAACCCTTCGAAATTTAGGATGAACATTGAGTCGAAACTCCCCACCTAGTGAAATATCCCACTCAGCTACATCAGTTTTTTTCTTGGATCCAATTTCCTCGAATTTTGCCATGACATGAGATAAATTGTCGATCAGCCGCGCCATTCGATTATGCGTTAGAAATATGCCAGCGCATGTTCGTGATTCCAGTGATCGACCATATTTGGTAATTTCAGATGTCGACCCCCTCGTTGTAAACTTGTCTCTTTATATACTCCTTATTGGCTAATGGTTTTGACCTCGGCACTGATGTATGAGAACATATTCTAACCGGGTTACTATCTTTGATAAAATAATGAATATTTACCATCCTTGTTACATCCTAATAAGAGTAATGATTAGGATTTAAATTGAATCTGATTGTACTATAACTTGATATTGTTTTAACTGGGTTATTACGTTTGGTCAATGAAAATAATATGTCCACCGTTCATTCTCTCTGAGCAGGTTAGTATCAACAATATGATTGATACATTTTCCATTCATACATTCTACTCGGCTACTATCTTTGAAGAAAGAATGAATATTTACCATCCATGCTACATCCGTTTGTTCCAATGTTAACTTCCCTTTGTTCTTTGCCAGATCTTTCTAAGGCACTGGTGATCCACTCGATTATGCTTGTTACCAAAACAGTTCGGAAAGTCAAAGGTACGATTTTTCTTTTTTCCTTATTTCACGCATTGTAGGTAGAATCCCCACGACGTTTTTTATTCACAAAGGTATGTCAGTATCATATGTTTTAGAAAATGTTCATGTTTGCGAAATAATAGCTCAGAAGACAACAGAATCGTCGATTTAATTCCTCACTTAAGTTACATAAACGGTTTTGGTTAAAAGTGCAGATTTTAACTGTTTTTCAAAAAACCGTTTATGTAACTTAAGTGAAGAATTAAATCGACGATTCTGTTGTCTTCTGAACTATTTGTTCGCACATCTGTACATTTTCTTAAAACATATGATACTGATACACGTTAGTGTTAAAAAATGTCGTGGGAATTCTGCCTACAACGTGTGAAATAAGGAAAAGAGAAAAATCCTACCTTCGATGTTCCGACATTTTGTTACCAAAACGAACCGTTTCGGTAACCAGCGTAATCGAGTGGATCACCAGTGTAAGGAGTAATAATCTTATTTAAACTGTTTTGCATTTTACTCAAAATGATGTAAGTAAATTCTCAGAAAATTCTTAAGGATATATTTTATTGAATGCGTACAGGTTTGTTCCGTTGAAAGCTTAAGCATCACTTGCAATTGCAATTGCGAAACGTGTAATAATAGTTTGATATTGAAAACATTTCGAAAATCCATACATTATATTAAAAAGAAGAGACGAAATTGTTAATTGTATAAAATTTATTAAACGAGAAGCTACAAAAGTGGAATAATACCATTACACGAAGCCTCTTATTAACAAATGTTCAATTATGTACCTGGGAAAATCAATTGGATTAAATATAAATCCTTTTAAATAGGGTACATATTTGGAAAGAATAATTAAAATATCTTCTCCCGATATTTCTTTCTTAATACAAGTTTTCACATCAATGATTTGTTGAAAAGTGGAATAAGGAAAGTATCCATGAAATCGAATGAATATGCCGATCTTATACATTTTCAAACAATAATTTTCACAAATAACTTCTTGATCATGCAAATAATCATTAAATTGCAGAATGTCCTTGCAATTAATCACCTCATTCGTTATTTTTTGAGAATCCTCGCACGAGAGATATGGATTAATCAATATATTTAAATATTTATAACATTCGATCACACATACAAATTTTCCTATGTCTACAAATAGGCGCAACGTGTAATTCGATATGGATATTTTAAAATGATTCATTGAAGATTGCAAAAAATTTGCGACAATCTTTTCCATCATATATTCATCAGAGGAAATTAACTTCTCGAAATAAAGATAAGAACTATTGTAAACGTAAAATATAACATATGCTAGGAAATGTCTGTCAGAAATTTCAGTATTGTCTTTTATGTTTTCGATAAAACTGATACATCCATCTTGGAAAGATTCATTTATGTCAGATTCCAGAATGGAGAAGTGTTTAATCAACGTTTCGAAAACTTCATCGATGATTTTAACCAAGTCGTTGGTTATTGGTACGCGGTAGCATATTTTGTTCGCAAACATAATGCTTTTAAATATGTTTTGAGACAACCGTTCCATGTTTACTTTCGAAAATCTATATGAAGAATTGACATGTAATTCGGATAGACGAGAATCTTTAAAAGAAGCATCTTCGCATAACGATTTGACAGATTCTGATGACAAATCTATCGACCATTTCTCAATATAAGGGACGGTAGACGGCGAGCTATGGTCGTCATCATATTCCACATTTGACATTTGTGTACCTTGTTGCGTTACTTTTACTTCTTCCATTAGGCGCGGTTAGATTCGTATCAATATTTAATTCTTTTTTTAGAAGATCTTCCTTTAAGAGTTTTCTTATATTTGTATTTCAACTTATATATCTGTAAATATAAAGTACATATTTTATATATTATAGTATTCATTAACTCAATTCTGTTCTAGTTTTCTATTTCATAAGACGAATGAAAATATACATACCTGTTTATTTAGCAATCTGTTATCTTTTCGTATTTCTCTTGGTATTCTCTCTCTTTCTCTCTCTCTATCTCTAAATTTCCTTTCAAATGAAAAAATGAACTGAATTTCGATGGAATAAGCAAATATTGTACAGATAGTTAACGACGATATATAGAATATGAACGATATAATAACTACGTTTATCCGAAAAGGTAAATCCTTCAGCAATTGTTTGAAGAATATCGATACGTAAACACCCAACGAACTCTAGGTGTTCCAAAAACAACTTCACCGCTCCAAACAGTAACAGCCTGTAAAAGAATTAAAAAGCAATAAACCCTTCTATTATAAGAAAATGAAAAAAAAATCAAGAGCGACTTGCTATAATTCCTTTGAGCAAATGAATTTATTAGTTTTTATTACCTTTATTGGTGACAACTCTAAAATAGGATTCGTCAATAGTATTTCGTGGTGCTCTCGACAAGAATCGTGTTTAAATTGAAAAGATTCAATAAATCATTTAGTTGCAAAGAATATGAAAGACATATTCTGTGGACGGCATTCAAGAGGCACTTCTTTTGAGAGTTCAGCAATTTGTCGTTGGTGATCATTGTCTACTTCCTCTAAGGATTTACTTTCTATTTTATATTTATTTGTATTTAACTTTTTCGATGAAAACATTTTCCCGTATTCTAAGCTCAAAGTAATACATATATTTATTAAATATAATATCTTAAATATATAACGTTGTATATTTGTTTTAAGGAAAAATACGACCTTCGAAAGAATCGAGCATCGAAGAAAAATTTAGAAATAGCCTCCAGAGACCGGGATATGTTTCCCACGAAATAATGGCTAGAATTATTATACGAAAACAAGAAGTTGTTTAATCCAAAAAACGTATTTTATGATAAGTAGTTTTATTTTTTTATAAAGCATGTTTGTGTATATCATGCTGCTGTTTATTTTATTAATTTCTTGGCCTCTTATACATTCGGAAGAAAGTATTAATTTATTGCGTATGCAAGATCAATTTATCAATAGATCAACATATGGAATCATATTTATAAAGGAATTGACAGTTTTGAACGGCGTATTATCGAATTATAAACATACATTTTCCATACAAATTCCGGAATTAACGGCTCCTTTGTTACGTTCTATTCCGTGTGAGGACGAAATATAGTCTTTTTCATTATCACCGAGGAATATTGTTCTCGTTCGAGATGTCTGAAGAGTTGATCGACGAAGCGCATAAGATATATATATATTTCAACGACAGATTACACTTGATAGACGAAAGTATTCTTCTATTGATTATTTTTATATTCTTAATTATATGTTTAAATTTATTTAAATCTATATATTTTGCTTCAAGAAAATTACTTAAAACAAAAACTATAAGTAGAGAATGTATTAGAAAATCAGCATCTCGAAAAGAAGAATTACAGTCTTTGCTTCGCTTGGACGACACAGGGCACTACGAAAACGACGCGGAGCTCTATCAAAACGACTCAGAGCCCTACGAAAACATAAAGGAAACTACCTACATGCCACCAATGGAATAAAAATATGAATGCTTAAATAAATAAGTAATAAACATATCGTATACGATTCAAATCAAATGTTTATATTTACTAAATAAAATGTTATACAAAATATCATGAATAAATAAAGAATGCTGATTCGACTTGTGAGAGTTTTTTTCTTCTTTGTCAAGGTATAAAGTAACGTCTATAGCTTTATCGGTAAAATCATTTTCACCGAACAAAAGGTTACATAAAGGCACGATGTTTTTGTTTATGGAATGATACGTTAAATTCTTAACTCCCATATTTTGTCCATTTTGGGTATACATCACCCCCCCCAGAGAAAATATAGAATTGACAATCCGATCCCATTTGATTTTCAATTCCTTCTTCTTTCTTTTCAATATGTTTCCTTTGGATGCGTACTTAACTCCATAAAACCTCACGTCGAATGCATCGACTGCAGAAGAATTGGTTAAAGATTCGTAATTGACCAACCTATGTTCATTCAAAGGATTAATATTTATAAATTTTATTTTATCAGACGAATCATCTTTTACAAAATCATTTGAACTTCTTTCAATATTCGCAATTTGTTCTGAAATGGAAAGAGAAGGCATCACCTGAATTTTACTTTTATGAAAACCTAAATTATAGGCATCATATTTAATTTCATCTCTTATATCTTCTTGGAGGAATAGATTTTTTTTCTGCAATTCTTGTTTAGAATGGACGTTTTTAAAAACAGGTATACACGAAACATTAACTTCCATGAAAAGCTTGGAAAAAGCTTCCCTCGAAAATTTATAATCATGTTCTCCCAATTGAAAAGTACTCCAAGAAAATTCTTTTATATCTCTCAACATAGCCGAGAAATCTTCTTCGGATTTGGAACACATAAAATTCGACATCAAGGTATTAACCATTTGTTTATGATTCTCTCTTTCCGAACTCTGCTCCCTTTCTGAATTGTATACTCTGTCCAACAACAGTTGAAATTTTTGTATTAACGATTTATCAATATCTTCCAATTGCTTAACCTTCTTTTTCAATGCATTGATTTCTTGAATTTGTCCAGCGTTGTTTTTAGCCCCAGATTTAATCATTTGTTCATAACAACACATTCGAATTTTGTTTTCTTTACTTTCTTTTACCATTAAATTTCTCTGTACAATTAACTCTCTCAATTTGCTTTTTAAAAATGCAATAAGTTGCTTCATATTCAGATGAGAATGTAATTGATCAACTAAAACACTTTCCTCTGCTTCCTCCGATGATGACGAGGGTAGCGTTGTTGTCCAATAATCTACTTGACCATTGATTTGTTCAAACAACGCGTCCATGTCTACGTTCGGAGAATCGTCAGATAAGTCTACCATTGTTTTAATTCGTTCGGTTTGAGCATCGAAATAACTTTTCATATTAGATTGAAAATTATATCCCGGGTCTACTTCAGTTTCTTTAGCTATTTCTCTGCCTTTGTCTTCCAATAATTTTTCGAACGAATCGAAGCCACCGAATATTTGCTTCATCAAATGTCCCCTCTCGTTTTGTTCCAATTTCGCATTTGCATTCTTGTTTCTTTCCAGAGCATCGGAAGCGTTCTTGTTCAACACGTCTCCGCAAATTACTTTTGTCTCGTTTACTAATGATATTTCGAATTCAGTTATAAGTTTAGAAATAAATTTAAACTCGAATTCATCTTCCAAGATATCTCCGATAACTGGATGTATATGTTTAAATAACAATGGATTATCCACGTGATCGATTTGTATAAATTTATATTTCTCGCCGTGTTTATTAAAACATGTACTTATCGTTTTGCCGCACTAGAATCAAGTTATTCAATACATCCTCGAAATCTATACACCGTGCGGTAAATAAATTATTTTCTAAATGCTTCAAAATTATATCTATTCTTTTTTTACGATTATTTTTCTTGTGCCCTAAAGTAGGGTGTTCTCTTAGCACTTCCACGATGGGAATTATTCCTAAACATAAATTTAATTTAATCATTTTCATAATTTCTCCAGATATCTTTTGCAGTCTGTTAATCAAACGCACTTCGTAAACATCTTTCATTATCTCAGATATTTGTTTTTCGCAATAATTGTGAATAAATTCATTTTTGTCTTCGACATCTTCAGATATTTTGGGAATGTCCATCAACATTCCAAATTCATCGAGAATAATAAATAACAAAGATATGCAATACACAAATGTATTCATTTCAAATCGCTTCAAATTGGTGTGAATAGTTTGAGAGAAATTGCTCCAATTGGAGGACGTAGGATTATGTATTAATTCTAAACTTTTCATAGATACTACAGAAGGATGAATAAGAAAATTGTCACTCTTTTTATCGATTCCATAAGTTTTGAAATGTTTTTTTAATTCGTCCGTAGAAATAAACTTTAGTTTGGAGAACATTTCTTTCCCTTGAGTCTCCATTATGAAACGTAAATGGTAACATCAGCACCGGGAGAAGCAAAACGATTCACACACGAAGCTACAGTACCGTGAGAATTCACAGTAATTTTGTTGATCATTTCGCATAGCATTTGGGCCGTATAAAATATATTATTCTCACGAATCATACAGTTTCGCAACATCTCAGAACTATCTGTATCCCAGTCAGAGTCACTCTCTAACGTATAGAACAAGTCGCCTAGATCAGATTTGTCCACCTTGTCTCCAAGATTAGAAACCATTTTACAAATTATTTCTCTTGGGGTAGAAACGATAACTTCCGATCCATCTATCGATAAAATATTGTTATAACTATCCCATTTGAAAAAGTCGAATGTCTGAATAATTGTGCTCATCATAGAAGCATTTTGTCGAGCATATACATTTTGAACGGAATTGTTGTTTGTGATGACATTTACTATTCGCCGCCAAAAATAATTTCTTTTCATTAATGTGTCACATTCCTTAAAAATATTGGACAATTTGACATCATCTTTCAAAATGAACTTCTTTTTCGAAATAATGACATGTTGAAACGTTCTACAAAATGTATAAAATGTATTGATGTGAGATTTCGCTTTTCCAATTTCCATCATTTCCAACCCGAACACATTCTGTTCGTTAAAATATAAAAAGGATTTATCGTTCGTAATTGGAGGAATACAAGAAAAATTACTTCCTGTTTCTATAATATCCGTTCCACTTTGAACAACTGAATGAAACCCTTTCTGCAAAGAAGATCTATATTCCAATTGATTACCATTGTATATGGAAACACTTCCTTGGGTTATTTTCGATAACGAATACCAGAAATTTACATTTATATTATTCACGAAATGAACTTCCTTGTTAACGTGTTCAACAATTTTCGGTTTATAAATCTCCGCATGAGTTGTATCTATGTTTGCATTTAAGGATACGTCTAAAGGTAGATAAAAGTTGCGTAAATTATCCATTTTATCTATATAATTTAAATTTATTCGGATCTAAATTTTTTATTACATACAAATCAGATGGAATGATATGTGAATACAACGACCAAATAGAATTAGGATTCAATTCAACCAAATTTTTACATTTGAAACAAAATAACAAATAACCTTCTAAAATGTAATTAAATTTTCTTTTCCCATTGATATGTTGATCAAATACCAATACATCATGATACACTCTTCTCAAATATTTGTACAGAGAATTGTGTCGAATCAAAGGTACGAATTGTCCGTAATATAACGGCAAATCTTTTCCCAAGTGATTCAATTCCAATCCAATGAAATCGTGCAAACATTTATCCAGTCTACTTATGGAAACGGCCAAGGAATATTCGCTTTTCTCTTGGTCGGACATTTCGTCGGACAAATATAAATATTTGTACTCGTTTGTAACCTGCAAAGCTTGCTTCAAGTTGAGGCGTCCCGTTAAAATATGAGCAGCACTGCTTCCATATGAATATCGGTGATATGAATCGAACAGGGATCGCAAAATATCACCAGTTGCAGACTTAATTATAAAAATTAAATTATCGCATTGAGTACAGTCCAAGTGATACGGCTCATTAATTCCATGCATAAATAAATCATAAAATTCCTTCGAAAGAAACATATCGATGAATTTTAACACTCGATCGTATATCGATTCGTCGACAATCTACAAATATTTTTGAGAGTCGCATAGATAAAGAACAAAAAATGCCAAACCATACGCCAAGTCCAAATTAGACGCACCAATTTGACTAGCTCTAACTGATTCAACAGCAAAAAAAGACGCGGTCAA